ACAGAGGTTAAGAAAATAATAAAAAACTAGAATTCTGAATTCGCTTAAATTCTGTTCCTATTTACAATACAAAAATCAAAAATTTACAGCACACATAAAACTATATATGGCACAAGTCAATATTATACATACGTCAAATATTATGGCACATGTCAAATGCTATAGCAAATATTAGTTATAGCTTTTTGACATACCGACATATCTTGAGTTATGTCTAATTGACGTTAAGATCAATTATGATACTGGCATATGTCCGCATCTATAGAATCAATACGTGCGCTATATGACTACGAATCAATAACTTTAGTGCCCTTATTTCCCACCATGATATAAACCAGAAAAAGGAAATTTTTGTATGTAGATCGTAAGATCAGGTGTAACATGAAATTTGTTGGTATTTTTCAAAAAACCGCCAATAACTCAAAATTTTGTCTAAAAAACCGCCTCTTGTGTTCTAACAAAAACAATTCCTTACAAAATTTTAGTATAGAATCTATTCTTCCTAGCTTTAAAGTTAAAGCAAATTTACAGCAAATAGAATATTTATAATTTCATGCGATTTGTATCACAGTAAGAAATAAGTAAACCCTAGCTATATGATCATGAATTAATCTATGTATAATTACGGATTAATCTAAATAGATGTATGCTTACAAATTAATCTATATATATATATTACCATTATTAAATCAAGATAATATATATTAACATATGATTACAATTTTATCAGGTAGGTTAGTGGTGCCATAAAAATGTCGCGGTCGTGTGATCTCCAACCGTTTCCGACCCATTAATGTATTGATCATAATAACATTGATATATTATCAATATATCAACTATTTGATTAGTATTAAATTCGGACAATCAAATGAATCGGAAACGGTTGACGATCACGTCACCGCGACATTTTTATGGCACCACTAACCTACCTCAATTTTATAATAAACTGTGTACATACGTACGTATAATTTAGACTAATGGCATTTTGTATTTTTTACTTACAGTAAGAACTTACATCATATTTGATTTTTAAATAAGATACAATTTGAATCATTATTTAATTTTTTTTCATAAATTTCTTTTTCAAATTTCTTTCAATGTGGGAAATTTCTCAAATCAGATTTTTAGTGAATGAAAGGAAGAGACGAAATGGTGAATACTATATGATGAGAAAAAAGAATGATTTTTGGGATGACATAGCTAATAAAATAAACATCCGATTTGGTACAAACTACAATGGCAAACAATGTAGTGAGCAATTTCGGCAGTTAGTGCGCGACTTCAATGTATGTAATTTATTATTATAACTGTTATATAATTATTATTTTAGTTTACTAATTGCTTTATTTTACAGCAAATGATCC